TGTTGTCCGTCTTCCATATATGGATTTTGTTGCAATCACATCTTACGCCAAAAAACTTTTTAAAATTTTACTTAAACGATGCGGACATTTACTTTCCACATGAATGTCTGCATTTCAAAACCTTTGTTCCACTTCAGTTAAAATTGGTTCAGGTGAAACTAGAAAACCAAATCATTTAGATTTACTTTTTATTATTCGATCAAAGAAACTTGTATCCACATTCCCTACACGGTCGTTCAGACTTACTAAATAAGTGGAAAGTTATTATACGCAAGCGCAGTAAAGTTTGCATATTTTAAAAGTTTTAAAAATGGCTACGGATAACGAATATAAAAAAAATTCTCATTGACAACGAGCTATTTTTCTAATTTTTAGCAATTAAATATGGATTTGGCCGTTTATTAAAAGGAAATTATAATAAAAGTAACTTCTAGTACACGATAAAATGTTTCAAGTTAAACATAAAACCTCTAAAAACGAATAAAATGTAATTACAGCAATAGCTTTTTTAGTGTAATTTGTTTATCGTTTTCAAATTGTTTTTAAAAAAATTTTGAGCGTAGAAATTTTTAAATTTTAACTTTTTCAGATAGATGAACTGTTGATCTTTCTTAAAATGTTTACTGATATCAGTATTCAATTTTTTTTCAAGATTAAAAGATATTTTTTTAACATTAACTTTTAGTAAGCTGTTGCTAGGCTACCCTATAATCACAATACATAATTACATTGATGTGAGTATATATATATATATATATATATATATATATATATATATATATATATATATATATATATATATATATATATATATATATATATGTATATATATATATATATATATATATATATATATATATATATATATATATATATATATATGTATATATATATATATATATATATATATATATATATATATATATATATATATATATATATATATATATATATATATACGTATATATATATATATATATATATATATATATATATATATATATATATATATATTTATAAATTTCAATACGTATGTATGTTAGACCCATGGAAGTCGGCCTAACATACAATTTTTAATATATTTACTTTTTGTTTTTGTTAAAATCATTTCATATTTTAATACATTCGAATTTTTAAAGTTTTTTCCATTTCCAACTATTTATTGCTAAAATAATTAATAAAATACCTTATAATATTTTTTTAGTATTTAAATGAGCAAAGTTTGATCAAATCGAGGGGGCTGTTAATTTTATATGGTCATAACTTTTAGGCACAATAATACAAATAAATTAAATTGAAAAACTGAAGCTTTATTTAGTATTAGAGAAACTAAGCATTTTATCAAGTCATTGTCATCATGTTTTGGCAGAGGCAGTTAGCTTATAGGGGAATTTTTGTTAACAATTCATGAAATTTTTTGCAAAACATTTAGAATTGACCAAAGCATGACCATTTTTTTTAAATTTAGTTAAAAAAAAAAAAATTTTAATGTATCTTGAAATTTCTAAGACAACTTCATGTTATTAGAGTAATAACATTCTAATAATGTTATTACTCAAGATTGTGAAAATTTATAATGATATGACCTTGAGCTAATTTCATTATAAACTATTAATAAAAGCAGGTTGATTTGATTAAAATAAATAGAGATTTTTTGAGTCAAGTCTTGAATCACTTATTTGATTTGATTTAAAATATTTAGGCTTAGCAGGGGCCTAATATATATATATATATATATATATATATATATATATATATATATATATATATATATATATATATATATATATATATATATATATATATATATATATATATCCACGACAAGATATTAAATTAGTTTTTTGAGATAGGTAAGAATTTTTAGGCCTTAAATTAGAGCACACATTGTTTTTGTCACGATTTTTTTATAAAACATTAAATTCAAAATCAACTAAATCGAAAACTAAAATGCTTTTGTTTTTATTTTTTTAATACAAGCAAAATCTATATGCATTATGAAAATCCAAAAAAAGATCTAAACATATTGATTTAGATACCAAAAAAAAATAATAATAATTAAATATTTTATCTTAATTTAAAAAAACAATCGGACTAAAGTTAAGTATATATTTCAAATAATATATTAAAACAATAATTTACCAAAGAAAAACCATAAAAAAAGCATTTCAATATTTTGCATATCCACCTTTCTTAAATAGGGATTGAAGATGGCAAAATTATCTAAAATTTCAATGTTTCTATCAGCATTAAGTCAACCTTCAAATAATTAATAGCATTTAAGTCCTGCATAATTCATGTAGGCCCAAAAGTCTACACTGGCATTACCTTGCTTGGTTGGTTTTCATGTATAATTCAAATCAAATTACTCTTGAGGTGATCGCCATAGCAGAACACAAAGCAATAACATATTTTTGCATATCTACCTCAACATTCATTTTGTCTGAGAATATAACATTTCACCACTTGCTGTTGTGTTTCATCAAGCAAATTAATTTTATTAATTAAAAACGTTTATCTCATTGTGTTGCCCACCAGATTATCCAGACCCATAATGTCATCTGTTTCAGTATAAGGTTTTAAAATATGTGAATATTCAATATTTAACTTATTGGCTATCTGACGAGGAGATAACACTTGGTTTTAAATAAAAATAGATTTGTAACATGTTTTTTTCAGATAATCTCAACCATGATTTTGGAGTTTTATCCTGTATTACTTCACTCGTTATGAGGCTTTTTCAATATCTAATTTCTTTGTGTTTTCATCAGTACTATTTCAAAATTAGAAATTTAGAGTTAATAAATGCTAATGAAAATCAAATTAAATTATTAAAAAAAATATTACATTAATTTTAAAAATAAAGCAGTAAGCATTAATTTTTAACGAACAAAAAAAATTTTAAAAAATATAGCCGATGTTATAAAGTTACATATAATTAGGGATACAACTGAAATTTTATGGTAACAACTTGTCCATTAAATAAAATACACAATACTTATTAATAAGAAATAATAAAATATTTAAAAAGCTAACTAGTTTTTAAAGTAATTTTAAGCAAACAGGATATATAAGTAAGAATGCTCTAATTAATGGCCAAATGTGTATGTATAATATATATATATATATATATATATATATATATATATATATATATATATATATATATATATATATATATATATATATATATATATATATATACACACATTTATATACATATATATATATATATATATATATATATATATATATATATATATATATATATATATATATATATATATATATATATACTGTATTGTATTACATAGTATACTATGCTTGGACATATATTATTATTTTTAATATTTTATTATTTTTCAGAGTTTGATTTATATGCATTAATTGTGTTTGCATACAATTGTTGTAATCGTGTTGTAATATAATATGCACACAAATTTATTGGATACAAATTGTATATAATATATAGTTAAATGATTATGATATATTATAAAAACTATATTTTATAGTTTATATTACCTATATTATAAAAACAAATATAAACTAAATGCTATATAAACTATGTAACATAATACATTTATATTTAACTTATAAATAAATATTTTATCTTACATACTTAATAAGTAACTTGTGAACTTTTTAGCCTTTTTTTTTTTGCATTTATAGTATAGTCATTCACATATAATTATATATTATAATTTATATTATAATCATTCACATATAATTATATATATATATATATATATATATATATATATATATATATATATATATATATATATATATATATATATATATATTAGCTATATACCTTAATATAAATGATCATACATCTACAAAAGTAGTGTTGGGTGAATTCTATTTTTGTTCAGAAAAAAATTGAATACTCAGATCTGAAAACAATTTCAAATCAAGATAAGACTATTCGAAATAAAAAAGTAAAAATTATTAATTTGTATCGCTCAGATTTTTAGAAAAACAGTTTTGAAAATGTAAACAAATCACGCTTTTAACAGTCAGATAAATGTAGCAGAGAATCACAGTTTTTTATATATTTAAACATCTTTATATTGTTTTTATCATTTTTGAATCAACAATTCAATTATCTTTATTATTATTTTATTCTATCAAGAATATGCAAATAATAACTACTAAGTAAAACTTTAAAAATATTGTTGCTACTCAGAAAAAATTTTGGTATCTAAAGGCCGTCACCATCTTTAAAATTATAATATTTGAATTTGACACTGCGGTTGCGTATAATAACTTTCCACATCTAAACGACCGTGCCTAATGTTGACGTTGTTCTAAGGATGTTTCTTTCTGCTGTTGCTGTTACAAATTGTACCGGAAAAAAATTATTTTCTATTTTAAAAGCGGTTTAAAAATTGTATAGGTAAATAGCGGAAAAAAAACTTTTGTCAGCTCTAGCCGTTCATCGAATTGAAAGCGTTATTCTAAAAGATATCAACGTGGATCATGTGAATAATAATTTCGTTAATTTAAAAAGCCGCCGCATAATGTTGAAATAATTTATTAACTTATGAATGACCTAGATAAAAACTATTTATACTTTAGAAATGTCAATTTTTTTTACCCTGCTGAAGTGTTTTAGTTATATGTAGTAAAAATAGATCTGATTGTCCAATGCATATTCTTTGGATTATCTTATTATAATAACCACATTTACTAGTTGGTTTTTGATCTTATGCAATAGTATCTGTTATGTAAACCATATTAAAAAAAAATGTGTTTGAGTAGGGATTTTTGTGAGTGAGTGGGAGGGGGAAGGAGGAAAGAAAAGGAGGTTGGAAAAACCACAACTTTTATTTTGTTGGGGGGCCAAGATAACCATGAGATGGACCTGACGCTAAAGATTTTCAAAAAATATTTTTATTTGGCTAAAACTAATTTCTATTAAAATGGTAAGTTTTTAAATGTGGAAGTTCAATTTCAAAAATTAAAATATCCATCACCTTGCTGAATATCTTTAAGTCATAATTAAAGACGAGTGAAGAAAGACTGCGAACTGCAAATTTGTTCCGTAAAAAGTACATAATAATTGGTCTTTAACAAATTTATCGACGACCAATCAATTTTTATGTTTATATCTTTAAGTGATATGGCTGCAGTCGATTTAGTTGGTATCACGATTTTTGGTAAGTATGAGATAGCTTTAACCTTAAAATTGTGTAGGATATTACACTTATAATGTTCTTCAGAATATTTGGCGTAAAAATGAAAATATTTATAGTGATTATCACCAGAATATCAAATGACATCATACTATGATGTCTATGTAGTATAGTATACAAAAATACTATCTAGTATAGTATACTAAATGTAGATATTTGACTATGATTCATAGTCAAATATCTATATTTTGTAAACGAATTAATTTGTATTTTAATTTTCCAGTTGGGATCAAGAATAAAAACAAGAAGAAGTTCAATTTAGATTTTAAGAAGTATTTGAAAATTTATAATAAGATTACAATTACATTAGAAAAGATTACAAATAAAAAAACAGTATTTCGTATTAGCATGGATAAAAGATTTATAGAAGTAGAGTATAGAATCATAAATAAGAAAACAAAAAAATACAATAAAAAGAAGCAACCTTTTCAAATGCTATCTTTGAAGAGTATTGGATATATGGTTTCCATGTAAGGTCAGTAGTAAATGATTGTTCAAGAAAGTGTAAAATAAGGACTCAATAAAATAAAGCAACTTTAGAGGCTTGGTTGTAAGGAATATTATGAATATAGATGAGAAATAATAGGGGTAATGACCGTAAAGTTTATGGAGAAGACTAACAGGATAAACTTTATTAAAAGCATTTGATATGTTAGAAGAAAAAGTCCTTGTAACTAATAAAAAGAACCATGTAGTTACTATGGTAAATAAATTGAGAAGATTGAAATCTGTATTAACTGTTAATACAGATTATTAGACTAAAAATAATAAGTATAAAAGTTTTTTTATTTAATACTTTAGGGCTTTGCTGATAATTGTAAAAAGACTGGGTGATGTAAGAAATGTACAAATGCTCTGTTTGTTTTCTTTCAGTCTGTTTTCCAGCAGGCAGGAAAACAAGATTTAATTAAACACTTGTTATATAGTTTAGAGAGTATTGAAAAAAGCTCTGGAGAACTATTGTAAGATTGTGACATGAATTTTTTTTTATGGATACAAATTATATAAGTATGAAATAACTTTAGCAACAGAATGTAGAAAGATTTGGATTTTTAGCAGCTATTTTTTGAAAATGCTATTTAGTATATTTTATTGGTATCATCAAACTTCTACCTTAACTTTTTTTTTTTTGTCTGATAATAATTTTACCAAAATAATAATTGGGTGTAGTTCCATTATTGTGCAAAAAAAAATAACTTATTGTCATAGTAGTATAACATATTGTTATTTAAAAAGCTTATATCAGTAAATAGACTCATCCAAAATTTCCCTAGAATGAACACTGAAAAATTTTATATAAACATATGCAGGCTTTATTTAGAGTATTATGAATTGCACAATGGTTTTTAGTAAAGTCCCAAGCACACTTTTTAAAATAATATCTTATTTAAATAAATATTTTTTAATCTTTGGATTAGCATCATTTTAAATAAATGTTTACTTTTTTTATATGTTTATAAATTGTGTATACTTCTTACCAAGAAGTCTGGATTATTTACATCTTTTTATTAACTCTGGTCAATCTTGCATCTTTTAAGTATTTCACAGATCTTGCATCTCCAATATGAAATCAACTTATTCTTAATTTTTTTTAAATAATAAACTTGCAAACATTATTTCACTATTATGCTGGGATTAGAAGCTCAATTTGAAGCCAGCTAATCTTGAATATATATATATATATATATATATATATATATATATATATATATATATATATATATATATATATATATATATATATATATATATATATATATATATATATATATATATATATATATATATATATATATATATATACATTATACATATACATTGTGATATAATGATAATTAAAATATATATATTTTAATTATCATTTTTTCATAATAAAGAGTCATAAATTGACTCTTTATTGTAAATTTTTTAATTTCCTGCTCGCAATTTTATCCTCTAGCTATATGAAAATTTTTCTTGTATAAAATACTATTGTCTGGACAGTTTTTTTTGATATCTTTTTTTAAAAACAATGTATAAAAATAAGTTATGCAACAATTCATATTTACTCCTGTTCTATTTGCTAAACCTTTGCTCTAGCAGCCAAACTTGTACCTCTGTCTCATCACTGCAATGTTATTTTTCTTCAAATACTAGTATAGCTGTTGCATATATGAGTGTCATCTTACTTTCCAGCTTGCAAAGTTTATCCAAATGTGACTACATTTTGTTAAGTCATAGCTTCCATTACGTTGTGCTAACTTGAAAATATGTTTTTAAATAGACACAAATAATGATTTTGTAGTAAATAAGACATTGATTAATTTAGTATTTTATTGAATTATGAAATTATACATAAAATAAGTAATAAAAAAGTTAACGCATAAGCTATTCAGATTTTGTTTTTTTTTGTTTAGAAGATAACCTTATTCTTCTTAAAATAACATTGTTTTTGTAAATTTTAATACTTTTTTGTTGACCAGCTATATATCTTTTATTTATATTATTATTAAAAGTAAAACAGTAAATTTTATAAGAAATAGTTTTAATAAAAAGAATATCAATTCTAGAAATCAAAAATATATATATTTCTAGAACTCACTTCTGAATTCAAGAAATCTAGCTTGATTTTATTAAAATCAAAAACTGTCAAATAAAAAAAAATTGGTCAATAGTTATAACATTTATACTAAACACGACTTTTAAATCTATTATGATGTTTTTAATCTATTTTCTATTTTAAATTTAACTGTTTTGGTTTAGAAAAAGACTTAGATGGAGAAATTATTTGTTCATGGATTTATCCTAGTATTAATGCTGAGTTAAAAAGGTACTTTATTGGAAAATGTAACTTCGTACTTTCTGAACATGATCAGATAACTTTTTATTATGGACACATTCAGACAATTTGGTACTATGTTAGTGTTTCTAAAGAAGATAATATTACTAAAAAAAAGGTTAGTTTTTATATATACAATGTATATATAAAAAGTATGTATGTGTATTATGCATATATATATATATATATATATATATATATATATATATATATATATATATATATATATATATATATATATATATATATATATGTATATATATATATATATATATGTGTGTGTATGTATATATATATATATATATATATATATATATATATATATATATATATATATATATATATATATATATATATATATATATATATGTGTAACTTTGAAACAAAAGATTTAAAAAAATTAAAAAGTACTTTGTGAAAATTTAAAAAAATAATGATCTTCATATATCCATCAGCTGTAATTATAAAGTTGTTAATTATCTGGACTTAACGTTAAATCTTAATGACAGTTCTTTCCAACCTTACTGCAAACCTGGTAATTCCATCAGTTATTTAAATGCTGACTCTAACCACCCTCCTAGTATACTAAAAAGCCTTCTTCAAACTATCGAACTATGATTGTCAACCTATTCTTTTAACAAAAATATTTTTAAGCAATCAAGATGCATTATCTAAATCAGGTTTAATCTAAAATTCGCTTACCATTCAAATAAAGAGCTGACCCAATTCAGAAATCACAAGCGAAACATAATCTGGTACAACTCACCTTTCAGTACTAATGTTGCAACAAAAATAGGCAGTTGTTTTTTGCACATGGTAGACCTGCACTTTCCGGGTGGTCACAAACTTTGTAAGATATTTAATCGAAATACAATTAAAATAAGCTTTTTATGTACGCCAAATATCAAGTCGATCATTAATTCACACAACCACAGGATATTATATAGCCAAGATAAAGATGAGAGAAAAACATGCAACTGTGTCAACAAATCCATCTGTCCCATGAACAATCAGTGCTTGACAAAAAACATCGTTTATCAAATCCACTGAAACATCGTTTATCAATCCACTGTGTTGTCAATCTGAGTACTTCAAAGTAAATTTCTATTTGTTATTTTAGAAAATGAGAAAACAACACAAGAGTTAATTGATCTGTCATTAAAAACATTTGCTGTTAGAATTAAAATATTATTATTACCAAAAACAATTTCTGTTGGGATTTACCATGGAAGCAGAAGTTCCATGGTAAATTCCAACAGCAATTTAGCCAAGGCCAAAAGCAGGGTCAAAAACTGCTTTTGGCCTTGAAAACAAAATGAAAACAAAAGTACATTATAATGGATGATGAAACCCACTGCAAACTTAACTGTTTAGCATTCCCAGGCCAACAATTTTATACAATCATGGAGTTTGCTAAAAATAGTCAAAACTAAATAATTTTATTAAGAAACTTATGGTTTTGCTAGCCATCTGTTTGTGTGGTTTAAAAACTCAGCCATTTTTTATGAACAGAAACTCGGAAATATATCTGAAGTTAAAATATTTAAAAAGCAATTTATGCAAACATGAATTATGAGCTGTGTAAGAAAAAATAAATTGCAGCAGACATCAATCAATTTCACCAAATTTGGGGTGTGGCATCACAAACTTTTATGAAAACTGTTGTCCAATAGCTCATGCAAGATGTTAGGACTAAATAAAGAAAGTAATGTGATAAGCTTGATAATGATGTTTAGCATTATCAAGCTGGTCACAAAAAAAATCTATTGAATGACTCTCTAAATATTTTAAAAGTTCCGTAGGTCAAAATCAAAATCTATTGAATGACTCTCTAAATATTTTAAAAGTTCCATAGGTCAGTATCATTTCAAACATTCTTTAATACTGTAGAATTTTTTTATTCATAAAATTAAAAAAAACATGATTATTTATTTTTTGTCTTTTGTGGCTCAAGTTTAAAAGTAAGTGAATATAATTTATTGTTTGTTATTTACTAAAACAAATTATTTTAAAAAGTAATCTGTGCTAATGCTTTATTAAAAAATTCTATTTAATTTTTAGATCAAAGATGTCTACATTTTTACCATTAGTAATGTAAGAGTTGAAATATGTGTTATACTTTTTTTACTTTTGTATAATTTTATTTACTTGTATATGTTTATTATTAGTTATTGCTTTTTTTTTTTTGATTTTGGGTTCATTTGATATTTTTAAATTTACTTTGCTTAGTTTTTTATTATAACATTCTCCTTTCTAAAGCTACCACCAAAGAGGCCCACTACAGTCACCACTACAGCCAAGGAGGCTTTTTTTTCTTTTTTCAATTTATTTTATTTGCAATTCTCCCTACCCTAAACTAAAAGTTTGTAAACCTTTTGAAAAAACTGAAGCATTGTTAAACTTTGTTGCGCTCAAAAACATGTTAAGCATGGTACTTCCAGAGGTGTAGAATGGATCTGAATTCCAAATCTCTTGGATGTGGGTCAAGTGCTCTACCACTTAGTACTTAGTCTACCATTAAGTTACTATTGAAATAATTTTTTTGATAATTTTTTTTTTAAATAAAAAGTTTCAATTAAAGATGCAAATTTTTACTTGACTCTGATTGTAATCTAAAAGGTATTACTGTATCTATCTATATCTCAACAAATATAGTATTACCAATTTTGTTTTAATAAATGTGACAGGATATTAGATATCTTACGGATTAAAGTGAATGTTAACCTGTGGTTAAATTTCACTTTAATCAAGCTGCTTACATTTTTTCCCCTTAAGATACTCAAACACATTTTCTTTGCATTTTATTTTTTAACATAAATTTGGTTGTTGCAGAATATAATTTTTTTTTCAAATAAAAGCGTTTATTGTTTACAAAAAAGCAACACTTTTATCAAAAGAACGTACAAAGAATAATCAAACGATATTAGTCAATTTTTTTTGAATTTGAGTTTTTTTGTGACGATTTGTCAGAAATCAATATGTTATTTAGGCATGATTTATTAGAACATCAAGTTATTATTTGTACATAATGATTTTTAGAACAATAAATTAGCACTTGTTCACAATGATTTGTAAAAGCATAAAGTGATTATTTGTTCTGTTCATGCTTATTAAACTAAAAAAAAATTTAAATTGTTTAACAAGATTGTTTAACTTAACAAAATTGCTTAACTTAACAAAGCAACGACAAAAAAAGAGGGAAAACATAATGCAACATGTAAGAATGCTTTTTTTTTAATTTTAAGCACAATTTAAAAAATAGCCTTGACTTTAGTTACCCCCTTGGCTTTAGGAAGGGGATCAGTAAAAAAGTTAAGTTTTTGGAATCTTATGCCTCCTTGTTATTAATAATCTTATGACTAATAAATTTGAATTAACAATATAAATTGTTGCTAAACATAATAAATATATGATAACCAATTGTTTATATTGTCTAGTATTGTTATTAGCAACTAATAGATAGTATGCTGCATTTTAATTTGCAAATACGATAAATTAAATTTTTGAATTGAAATCAATTTATAAAATAACTTTGAAACAAAAGATTTAAAAATAAGTTTATTTTTTGCGCTTGAAATTGTAACAAATAAATTGTAAAAGAATTTACAAAAAGATTTTTTAAATCTTTAATTTTAAGTTTTCATAATTCATTTATCTATTTTTTTTTTTTTTTTTTTAAACAAACTGTTATGAAATTATAACATAGTGCTTTTATGAAAGTGTAGCATCAAGTTATAGATAACTTTCATTAAATTTATTGTGAAAGTATTTTAACTTGAAAATTTAAAATATTTTAAAATACGATTTACTTTAGTGAGTTTTTAATGATTTTTTGACAAACATGTCCCAGACTAGCTGCAATATTAATTAGAAAAAGTTTTTACATACAAGTTGTTATATAAATTTTTGGTTATACTTTCATTAGAATAACATCATATTTACCTTTTCTTTTAAATATAGGGAAAAAAAATTATATTTTAAATTTCATTAAAGACCAATAAGTTGCGCAAATTAATTTCTAAATAAAGAGAAATCATTAAATTAAAATTTATAAAAATAAATTTTATATACTTGTTTATAATTTTATTATTGATAGTTATTTGAAATCATTTTAATAAGTTAATATTTTAAAGTTAATATAACAATTTATAATTAAGACAATATGTAATTACTATAACCTGTTTCAGAGTTTTAATCCTGAATTTCATGAAGCGCTTGGAAAAGAGTTCCTAAAGAGTTATACATTTGGCATGTCTGCAATACTTAATCAATATTTATCAATTTATACTAAAGGTTTTTGTACATGCTGTGATTTATCTATGTTAACAGCAGAAAAGTTTGATCAGTATAAAGCATATTCACAAACATGTATAAAAGGTTAACTTTTTTTTTTAATTTTTGCATTGACTTTTGAAAATTATTTATTGTATTTAAGAATTCTAGGGTTAAAAAATGTAAATATAACTTATTTCATTCAGTTAACCTCAGGGCATAAGAGCATGGGGGCCAAGGAATAAGATTTTATTATAACAAACATAGCATGAGCAGAAAATAAAGTATAATAAGAATAATGTGACGGTTAATTTAACACACAACAAGTAAGATAATATTTTCACTAAAACTGTTTCTTCTGTATTCTGATTGCTGCATACTGATTCACTAGTTTCTCCAAATCTATTTTAAAGGCTGCTTAATTTCCAATGCTGATTAATGCCAGTCTATTAAAAAAACAGAGACAAAATCGTGTGTTTGTATATCAGATGGATACATTCCCGGAATCACTTGTTGCTGTTGCAATCTGAACAAAAAATGCGATAGTAGAATCAGAAGTAACAATCAGTTATTAATGGATACATATTTAAGGATACATATTAAATGTAAAGCGTGGTCATTTTTTAATCAAGATAGGTGATGTTAGCCAACCTAATACCAAAACTTGAGAGTTCCTTTCATTTATTTATAACAATATCTCTATGAAAAGTAGTAGTTTTTTTTAGCTAGTGCTTGAAAGAAATATGATTCATTATACACTTTTATTTAGAATATTTTGATTGGCTCCACAACAATCTTGATAACCTCAAAAAAGCACAAAATAACTGAAATACCACTACTTTAAATTGTAATAAATAAAAAAGTTTTTTATTTTCAAAAAAATCTTTTGTTACAATTTTTAATAATTAAGCATTAAATTAAGTGATAAAGTCTAAGAAAATGATAAAGTCTAAGAAAATGATGAAGTCTAAGAAAATACTTAAAATCAAGTTAAAGATGAATTTCCTTACAAAATTGTTTTTACATTAAGTAAGGGAAAACGGGGCAAGATGGCGAATAGGGCAAAGTGGCTTTTCATATAACAACTCAAAAATAAAAGTTAAATATGGGTGAAAACAAAAATGTATTTACATCTGGTATTTTAAAACGCTCTTTTAAATATTATTAACACAATTTTATGTATAAGTTTACTTTTTGCTTTAAAAAAAATATCTTGGTTTCAGTTTATCATAAAGGATGATGTCTTTCAGGTGTAACTATTTTAGGAATTTTAACATTTTTATTTGTCATGTTACCAGATGACAAGTTTATGAACTTTTAAATTTATTTTTCTTTTGAATTTTTTTACCTGCAAACTGAAAATTCATGCAGCCAATGAATCATGATAACATAAACATACTCACAAAGTATTATTGCTTCATGATTGATAGTTTTGCAATAACTCAGAGCTTTCAAAATGTCTGCTATCTTATCCCGTCTTCTCCTAGTTGTTTTTAGTATTTGCTAAAAAAAGACAATCATACTTAATATTTGGCACATATGTCTTCATTATATAAAATCTTATCATTAGTTTGTTGTTATTAAATATTTTATAAAAAATTTATTTGTAGGCATGATATAGCTGAGCTGGCATAACAAAATGGAAGTGCTTGTTAAAATATCTATAGCTTTTAGCCTTTACTTAATTTAGTTTTTCATTTTTTAGTAAATTGTACAGGCAGGACGTGTTAAGGGTTTGTTTTTTTCAGACTTTTTGTCTGATTCTTCATAATTTAAAGTAACCAGGATCACTGGTTAGTTTACTTTGCCTTTAAGAGTTACATAAGTGAAACAGGCTTATAAGTGTAGCATGCATTATGATAATTACTTTTCAGTATAATTTAAGATAATTTTGTATGACTAACTGTATACTTGAAAGCAATAACAAAATATTTTCTGATTTTTTAGATCATTAAAATTATAACATTTAAATTTTAAGAGCTAGAAACTGCTAAGAGCTTGCTCTTAGCAGTTTGCTATGAGCTCTTAGTTAGTTTGCTAAGAGCTTGCTCTTAGCAAACTTTACAGTTCTAATAATATATTTGTTGCTATTTATTGGAACCATTTTTTGTTTTTTTTTAATAAGGTACAATGCATTTTTTTTTAATATGATATTTTTAAATCAGTAAAACCTGAGCTAAAAGACCATTAAAAATTTTATATTCCCTACATTACTATTGTTGAAAATCCTCCTACATTACAATTGTTGATAATCTTCCTACATTACAATTGTTGAAAATCTTTCTACATTACAATTGTTGAAATTCTTCCTACATTACAATTGTTGAAAATCTTCCTACATTACAATTGTTGAAAATCTTCCTACATTACAATTGTTGAAAATCTTTCTACATTACAATTGTTGAAAATCTTTCTACATTACAATTGTTGAAAATCTTCCTACATTACAATTGTTGAAAATCTTCCTACATTACAATTGTTGAAAATCTTCCTACATTACAAATGTTGAAAGTCTTCCTACATTACATTTGTTGAAAAAATTTTTTTTTCATTTTGTGTGAATTATAGTTGAAATTTTTGATGATAATTTTACATTTAATTGTTTATAAATATGTTTTACATATTTATTATAAATATATTACATATTTAATATAAATGTATTACATAATAATATCCTACTAGTATATCATTATTCTATGTTACCTTTAGAGTTGATCACTTTATTTGGTATGGAAATAGTATTATTGTACATTGGTATGCTTCTCAAAAAACGCATAGTTATATATGCACCAAAACTTCAGATGCTTTTAGACATTTGCAGGTATGTTTTTTTAAAAGATCTAATATTAATCAGATATTTTGAAATCAATTTTAAAGAAATTGTGTTATTTTTTAAAAAGATCTATGCCAGCCTTGACTTATCATCGTCTTAACTGGAATATAGTTTATCCACATATGAGTTTGAATGACGCAAATGATATAAACACTCTGAAAAAGCAACGTACATATGTCGTAGGTTTCACTGAAGCTGGTCTTGAAAATAGAAATGATCTTTATGATTTATTCATTAATGGTAATTTTTTGTTTTTAGTTTTGTTTCTCATAAAAATATCAAATTTACATTTAGAGGCCTTGTTATAGCTTTTGATTTGTTATCAGAAATGATTATTTAACTATTTCTTATAAGAGTGAAGTTAAATTCAGTTCTTTAATTTCTTTTCTTTAATTTTTTGAATTGTAGTATTGTTGTTAGTCTTAGTGCCATTTTTGTGTTACAATTTTATTTTTTGTCATTTTATTTTGTTGTGTTACAATTATATTTTTTATTTTGTGTCATTTTATCATGTTACAATTTTATTTTTTAATTATACTCTTTTTTTTTCCTTAAAAAAAAGTGTCTGGATTTAGGTTCTCATTTCAAAAATTAAAGTCTTTAAAATATATTACTACCATGTTAACCTAAATCTGCAGAAGTATATATAGTTGTTTCAAGAGATACGGGTTAGGTAGCAAGTTATGGTTGGTGTTTTGCACTTTTTTGACAGTTTTCATTGTCAGCATAAAATTCTTTTTTGCTGTTTGTTAGAGCAAGCAGCTGGACATTAGTGTTATGACATTTTTGCAACCTAATATGACCTAGTCCCATAAGATTAGTTTTGGTATAAAAACACTAAAATTAACATTCGTTTATGCTTTCATTTCAAAAACCTCACCCATGACTTAAAAAAACTTTTTTTATGGTTACAGTATAATATAAAACACAATTCAGAAATAGTAATTGAATAATATAATAAAATACAATTACTTTTTTAAGAAAATAAACTTCAATTTATTTTTTTCAGCAATTTTACACTTTATTTCTTGCATAATTTTAATTGCTCCTTTTGGCACAAATGTTACTTCTTTGTGTATAAATTGCTGTATTGTTTCTTTTCCAATGTTTCCTAAATATTGTTTTTACTTTCTTGTGTTTTTTTAAACCGTTGTCCAATTTTTCTTAAGTGTCTTTTTTTATAAAAATGGTCACTGAACCAAACATTAAACCATGTTCCACAAATCAGTTCACAAATTTTAGCAAGTAGTTTACCTTGATCTGGAAGTAGCAGAAAAACAAGTAAGGCATATATTGATCTAGAGTTTCACCTTGCTTATATTAGATAATGCTTTAAAAGTAATGAAGGGAAATAACCAATGTTCTTAATATTATCAGAAAGTATTTCCCAGTTCATATAAAAACTGTATATCGTTGTGCTATTTGATGTTTTTAAATTTTATTTTTACATCATTTTGCTGAAAGTCATTTCTTAGGTTTACATAGTTGTGTATCACTGACTTCTTGTATAATTGGGAGATTTTGTCATGAAAGACCAACTGAATGCTTTAGGACTAAATACAATACATGATGTCCTATATACTGAGTTATAGGAATGTCTTTTTGTTTAAATTTCTGTTGGATCAGTACAACTCCATTTCTCACTCCAGTATCGATACTTGTGGTATCACAGATTATAATTTGAATATTTTCCTACAAATAATATTGGTCGAACAACTCTCTATTTCAATAAATATTGTTAATGCTTTCCCATCACTAAGAGTTAGTGCAGCTAGATGAACTTCACAGTGTTGATTTATAATACAATAACTTTCACTCCTTGCTTGTTAATTTTTCTACCATCAAAGTGCAGAGCCTAATTTTTATTTTTAAGAGTTTCTTCAAAATTCTATTGCATTTTCTGTGATTCTGTGATTCTCTAACAGATGTCTTATATATTGCAGATTAAGTTGGTGTAGGGATATCAATACATCGGTCAGATAGTTGTTTGCAAACTTTTGCTGATTTAGTTGAACTTAAGTTAATCTGTTTCACTAGATGAACTGCAGTTTTTCTTTTTATCTGCATTTCATAAAATCTTTTATCTTCAGTTGCCAACCAGATGCCATCTGTTTTTGTAATATTAAACACATTTGAAAACTTAGTTTGAGCACATTCTTTATAGTATTTCAAAAAGTTATCATATTTTTCAATAAATGCATCAATTTTCCTCGATTTATTTTTCTGTTATGAGTGGAAAATTTAATTTTTTTTTTCAATTCATCAGCTATGACTATAATTTTGACATTTCTTCATCTTTTGAAAGAAATAGACTATAATAATCTCTCCAATAATTTTCGTATCTTATAGCATTCTAGATGAGCCATCAAGTTGATCATTGATTGTTGGTAACAATTTCCTTTGTGTGACACTATTTTGGTATACTGTCAAATTTTTTCACCAGGTACCAGAATTTTTTCCGACATTTTCTTTGCTTTTCCAAAAAAGGTAACTTGAAAGTAACAATTGAAAACATTCACAGACATGCAGCAACTGAAAGTAGAAACAGATAATACATCAAAGAGCAAATATTCACATAGTATTAATAGTTTTCAAGGAACTAAAAAATGCTCATTTTTATAGTTGCGCACTTCCAACAAAATATTTCAATCTGTATCCTGGATGAAGTCTTTGTAAAGGGAAAGCAAAAATGTACGATAAATCTCATTATGGCACTATTGCTCATTAATTAGTGCTAGGGTCGTGTTAAAACTAAAAAAAAAATGTCATAACCTTACTAGACATGTATGTATGTATATAAAAATATTGTATGTTATTATTTTGTTTTTATTAGTTTCTGATGCTGAAGTAGTTATCAATCCTGACTCAAAAGGTTCTTTTTTTTATTTTGTTTATGTTGTATTATAATATTTAAAATATTTTTTAATTATCAAGTCACTTTAATTTCTTTTTGTTGAATTACAATTTTTCAAATTTCTCAAATTTTAGAGTATTTTCAGATGAGTAAGTTGCATAAAGATATTGCGACCTACTTAGTTCAAACATCTCAAGATGATGATGTTGGAGATGATGATATCATTAAGGTAGAAGGTTATTGTTTTAGTGATAAAGATATTTATAATTTATGATTCTTGATTAAATTGTATTTGATAAAATATTGTGGTTACTAAACTTGATCAAAAAGGTTAATTCAAAAATTTTTTATTTTTAACACTATTTCTTTCTCTTGATGCTACTTTTTTAATAACTATATTTAATTTTAAAAATAATTATAATCATAAATTCCAACCAAAATTAAGAAAGGTTTACATGTAAAATAATTTTTTTTTTATTATTATTATTATTATTTTATTTTTGTTTGCTTATTAGATTTCCATTGTCACTTTCATTTTATCATTTGCTATATGTTATTATATTATATATTTATATTATTTGGCATATATTTCATATATTATCATTTGCCATTATCACTTTTATCTTTTTTGTTGTTTTAATATAACCACTAGGAAAATTACCATCCAAAGTTTACAAGCTCCTCCTCCACAACCTCTTACTCCTCTTAACTACTTTTACCCCACTCATTCTCTCAACCCATTACTCCTCCTACCCTCAACAACAATTAAATTGGAAGTTTTATATTTGAGGTTTTTTTAGGCACAAGAGCCTTACATGCCTTCTAAAATGAATAAAGATTTTGTATTTGAATATAGTATGGAGAAGTTGAAGCAATTTCTTACAAACATTTATGTTTTTTGTGGATACCATATGGTATGAATGATTATTGTTGTGGATGATGACAGCTGTTACAGTTTATTGTGTTGTGATAACAATAAAAACAATAAGAATTAAATAAGCAGCTAAAATAATAAGAAACAATGGGAAGCAATAAGTAATTTTAAAGTTAAGGTGTGAATGTATCAGGATTTTTGTGCTTGATATTATGTTGTCTTTGTGCTGATTTATTATAGTATTTGTTAAACACAGAAAATTTATGGTTAATTATAGAAATATATGAAAATTTGATAATAAAGTGCTTGAAGTATAGAATGAAATCTAAAGAATGATTTTATTAATTGTGTGTGTGTGTGTGAAGTTAAAGAACGACTAAAGACTATTTATATCAGGGTGATAAAACGCAGAATTCCCAATTGATTTAAAATTCATTTTAAATACCAAAGTTAAAAAAAAACATTTTTTAATTGATGTTATTTATTCTAAAATTTAGATTTTTCAATATGTTTAATATATCGTTTTTTTGTATTTATTCTTATTATTCAAAAACTCTTATTTACATTTTTACTTTTTATCTTAGTAATCTTTTTATCTTAAGTTAGGAAAGGTATAAAAGTCTTTGCAAATTAATAAATAATAAATAATATACTTTAAAATAAGTTGTTAACATTTTTTTTGTTAAGGAAGTTAAAAATAGTTTCAGTAAACTAAGTTTGCTTAGTACACTAAAAATCAACAAAAATTCATTATAAAGTATCATTTATGTTATATTTGCGTAAAACATAAAAGGAGATAAAAGGAGTTTTTATAATTTTATTTTATTTTATTTACAAATGCAAAAGTTTTATTTACAAAAACAAAATTTATAAATGCAAAAATTAATTTTTTTTTTTTTAATTTACAAGATTTTAAATTCCCTGCTTAAAATTTACTTGCTGCCCTCGTGCAGTTAACGAATCTCACTCGGCCTTTTTAAATTTTTGATTTATTTAAATTAATTTTAAAGTAGCATATTGTTACGAAAAGTTTTTTAATTAACTTTCTATTTGACTGATATTGGCGAGCCAAGTAGGTTTTTTATCTATTATCTTAGCTATCAATTTAAATAAGATTTTTATGACGACCTTTTAAAGCCACATCATATTTAATGCAATTTTAAATTTAGTATTTAAAATTTACACATAAAAGCGCTGTGATTATTTGCTTGTAAGTTTTTTTGTGTGTTTGTTTCTGTATTGCTGATGGGATTCTTTTCGTGTTGATTAATGTAAAAAAGTGCTGTCTGTTGCTAAGTTCTATTATTCTCAGTTCAATAAATCTTGCATCTTATCTCAGAAGTTTAGGTCTAACATTTCATCTCTCATTCATGAGACTGATCTTATCTCTTCATGAGACTGATCTTATCTCTATCATTCATGAGACTGATCTTATCTCTTCATGAGACTGATCTTATCTCTATCATTCATGAGACTGATCTTATCTCTATCATGAGACTGATTTATTGAACTTTATTCGCAAACAACTTTTCTTTTAATTTAACTCTTGAATCTTCTGGCCATCCTCTTTTTTCTACTACAATTAAACTGGTCAATCTATTGTTGGACATTCAAATCACTCTAGCTTCGGTTGCCAAAGCCGTATCTCAATTAAACTCTTCTACAGCTTGTGATCCAGACACCATTCCTATCATATTTTTCCAAAATTTTTCTCCAAAACTCTCTTAGATTCTCTTAAAACTATTTAATAAGTGCTTGGCTCAGTCTTGTTTTCTTATCTACTGGAAAATGGCATCTGTGGTTCCAATCTTCAAAAAATATGGCCCTTTTCTGATTATCATTCTGGCCCTTCTGATAATTGTCCGATTTTATCTGTTATTAGCAAGGTCTTTGAGTCTTTAATCAACACATCCCTTCCTATCAGACAATCAATATGGTTTTTGATACTCTCGCTCTACAAATGACTTGCTGTGCAGCTTAACTACTGTGACTGAGAGACCTTGTTGTGCATTAGATTGAGGTTATCAGCCTAGCTTTATTAGCCTAGGATTATTGCTCTATCTATCTAAAACTTTCAATAAAGTTTGGCAGGTCTTTTTTCAATTTTATACTTCTGTCTTGATAAAAGATTTTCTCTTTTTGATTGCTTAAAACAGACAAACTATCTTGAATCTGATCTCTCTTCTGTACCAGACTGGGTCATGTTGTGGCTTGTGAATTTTAACTTTAACTCAGTTATTTACTTCAAACAACATTGCAATACTGTCAACATTCCTATGATATTAAGTATCAACCCTCTCACTAAGTCTACTTCTTTACATCTTGAATTATTGTTCACTACTGACCTCTCATATATACCATATATACAATTGATTAGTAAATTAACTTCTCTTTATCATGCTCACCATTTTCTTAATCCTGATTCTATTCTCTGTCTTTACAAATCTCTCATTTACATTTTTGTGGAATACTGTTGTCATATTTAAACTAAGTCTTCTAATGATACTCTTTCTCTTCTAGACATGATCCAAAATACATTGTAACTGTAGTTGAACCCAAGCTTGAGCCTCTCTCCTATCGTTGTAAAGTTGCATCTATTACTTTTTTCTACAAATACTGTCATAATTGCTGCTCATAGGAGCTATCATCTCAAGTTCTATCAATCAAAATTCATTCTTGCTCGACTTGTCATTCAGCAATATCTTATTCTTTCATTGTATCTGTCCTTGCATGTTTTAAAAATGTTTATTTGTCTAGTCTTTTTCTTTGCACTTCAACCCCTCGGAACTCTCTTTTCTCAATCTTCATGTTTTCCTGACTTATACAATCTACAACTTTTCAAGTCATCTGTCAATTGTTTCCTTGCTTTTTAACTCTATTCTTATTTTTTTCTAGTAACTCTTAACTTAATAGTATTTGCTTGCAGCCTTGTTGGAAGTAAATCAAAATTATAAAAATAAAAAAAATAAAGAATATTCAACACCAAAAAAAAAAAATCATTTTAAAAATATTTATGTTTCTTAAATTGAGGTGGGGAACTGTGGGCGCAAGCCATTGCTTGCCTTAATTTTTTTGTCATGTCAGATTGCAATGACCTTAGATCAACTTTATTTCTTATTATCTTCTACTACAAATAAAAAATTAGCATGTTTAATTAATTACAAATGAAAAAAAAAATTAAAAGTATTTAATTTGCGGAGAAAACAGAATTAGCCTCATTTACGTTATATACAAAAAAATACAGAAAATATTTTGTTTTTATGCTCATTTAATATTTAGTATTGTTTCCTAAATTTTTAATGACTTTAAAAATGAGACTTGACATACTAGTCACAAGATTTTGGATGGTTTCTATAGGTATTTAATTACAAGCTTCTCTGATACGAGTTTTCAGCTCCAATGTGGATTCAAATTGCTTACCATTTTCATAAACCTTACTAGAAAGTATTTCCCATAGATTTTTGATTAGGTTTAGATCTGGACTGCATGCAGGCCATTCCAATACGTGGATATTTTTTTTTCTAAACCAAGCTTTTGTAAGATTTGAATTATGGATAGCAGCATTGTCTTGTTAAAAAGTGAATTTTTTACCCATCAATTCTTCACCATATTCAAGAAAACTAATTTGTAATAAGTCAATGTGAGACAAATCTTACATAAAGTAGTCCTGTAAATTCATTTTTGTTTGAAATCTATGCCAGTGGAAGTTTTCCAGCAAAGAAAAAGCCCCCAAACCATAACAGTTCCACCACCAAAGTTACAACTCATTCAAGTTTCTTCCTCTTTTTCGTGCCAGTAATATTGACAGCCATCAGGACCATCTAGATTGAACTTTTTTTCATCACTAAAGAGAACTTGATGCCACTCTTCCTGGCAAAACATGTGTTATTTTGCAAATTGTAATCTAGCTTTTTTATGACGAACAGTAAATTTTGGTTTTGGTTTACGCTTTTTCCAAACTGTGTTTGGATCTTCATGTAAGATTTGTCTCACACGTTGAACAGATACAGGTAATTGTAAATCAACATGAATTCAAGATGCAGTCATGTATTAAACAGCAGCACATTGTACAATTGCTCATTTATTGCAATTATCAATTATACATTTGCCACCACTTCCCTTTTAAGATCCATAATTAATAATAATAATATATATATATATATATATATATATATATATATATATATATATATATATATATATATATCAACTCGTTTCTCTGCGCAGCGGCCTTGTTCGTCAAGGTTCGTGTTTTGGAGTTATAGAGTTGAGAGAGGGTTATAGCCACAAAATAAGTAGCCTCCTCGTCTGTAGTGGCCTTCTCAGCCTTGAGGAGGTGAAGTAAAATAAAATAA